AAAAAAAAAAAAAAAAAAGAACCAGTGCACTCACTCCTCCACACATCCCGCTGATGGGATCCAGCTGCTCAAGTCTCAGCTGTCTTTGCCTCCTGGTGCCTTCAAAGACCTTGTTTGTCACCCCAGACCCACAGCCGCAAACAGACCAGGCCCCAGATCTGCTGTGTGACTGAGCTCAGGTGGGCTCGGCAGGCTCAAGGACATCTTGGAGCAGGTGCACCCTCTCCTGCCCCTTCTCCTCCCTCTTCTGGGCACTGACTCCTGCGTGACAGGACAGGCTTAGGAGAGGGCAGGACCAGCATGGTAGGGCTCCCTGGCCACTGCTCCAGACCTCCGAAGGGAGGACCCACGCAGGGAGCACACAGCTCACAGGCAGGGGTGGGGGCTCTCCCTGGTGCCACACATGGCACATGACTGAAGGGACGCCCACCTCCCCAGCTCTTCCCCCATCCTGGCGGAACTGGTGGGGCGGTGGCAGCTGGCCATATGTGGTCAGCTTCTGTCTCCAGGAAGACCCGAGGGGGAAGGTCTGACCCAGATCTTAGCACTATTTTTAGCACAGCGTTGCTGCCTCAGAGCAGCACAGGATACTCTACTGGACACCTGCAACCTGTGCCTTATTTTATAATAATCTTATAGAAATGTGAAACCACAATCAAATTACAATTGGCTTGGGGGTGAGGATGTCCCTGGAAAAAGGACAAGGGACATTATATAGGGCAAGAGGCTCTTGGACTTCATTTACACCATATGGTGACCAGAATGTAACCAAACATACTGACGCAGCAAGGGCTGCCTATGGCAGAACTGGGGGCACCACAGTGGGGCTGGGAGGGCCAGTCAGAAGGGGTGGGCTCAGGACAGGAAGCAGCACAGGGACACAGGGGCAGGGGACACGACCCAGGCTGCTGTCAGGCCCGAGCAGGGTGGGACTGCACCTCAGTCCTTGCCCTGAATGCACATAGCGTAATGATATAAATCCTGCCACGTCCCAGACAAGGACAAGGCAGGCAACAGACAGGGCCGGAGGCACAGCGGCTGTGGGGCAAGATGTTGTCCAGAGCTGGGCCAAGGGGTCTGGGTCCATCACTACGCCCCTCACAGTTGTGCCCATCAGCAAGTCACTGAACGTCCCCAAATCTAGGTTATCCATTGAGTGGTGGTGATAGTCCTATATCCCAGGAAGGGGGCCATATTGAAAGGGGGTGTTTGCACCATGGGAAACTCATCTTATGTGCCAGATCCAGCAGGGAGAGCCCCTATCCCGGGGCTACCAGCCAGTGACTCAACAGGCCTAGGCACACTAGGGACAGCTCAAGGGATGTCCCCCCTGCTGAACCCCCACAGCCCTCACTGTCTCCAGAATTTAGCTGGGACCACACTTACCCCACTGCTGCCCTCAGGGACCACCTGGGACAGGGTACATCCTGCTCAGGCAGGGCATTTATGAGCTGGACAACATCACAGGCAAACAAACATCTCTAATGACAGCCTGGCCCTGGCACTCACCAACAAGGAAGGGGCTTCCCTGAGGCTGGGACAACAAGATGGGAGGGGTACAAAAGCCCACAGCCCCAAGCACCCCACATACTCACTCACTCAGTTCAACCCCAGCATGGCCATGTCCACCATGTCCGTCTGCTCCAGCACTTGCACTGAGCTCTGGCAGGTAGATGACTGTCCAGAGAGCTGCTGTGAGCCCCTCTGCTGTGCCCCCAGCTGCTGTGCCCCAACCCCCTGCCTGACCCTGGTCTGCAGCCCAGTGAGCTGTGTGTCCAGCCCCTGCCAACCAGTCTGCACCAGCTCCTGCACACCCTCATGCTGCCAGCAGTCTAGCTGCCAGCCAGCTTGCTGCACCTCCTCCCCCTGCCAACAGGCCTGCTGCGTCCCAGTGAGCTGCAAGCCCATGTGCTGTGTGCCCATCTGCTCTGGGGATTCTTCTTCATGCTGCTAGCAGTTTAGCTGCCAGCCACCTTGCTGCACCCCGTCCCCCTGCCAGCAGGCCTGCTGTGTGCCCGTGAGCTGCAAGCCTGTGTGCTGTGTGCCTGTCTGCTCTGGGGATTCCTCTGTATGCTCCCAACAGTCTAGCTGTCAGCCAGCTTGCTGCACTCTCACCTTGTGCAAGCAGTCCTGCTGCACTACTGTGTGTCACAAGCCCGTGTGCTGTGTACCTGTCTGCATTGGGGGCACTCCCTGCCCGGCCCTCTCCTGCTGCCAGCCCAGCCCCTGCCCCTCTTTCTGCTGCAGACCCTCCTCCTGTGTGTCCCTCCTCTGTCGCCCTGTGTGCAGACCTGCCTGCTGCGTCCCCACCTCCTCCTGCCAATCCAGCTGCCCCCTCCCAGCCTCCAATGTATCCCTCCTCTGCCGCCCAGCCTGCTGAAGCCTCTTCTGAAGAGGTCCAGCTCTTGGCTTGGCGCCTGTGGCTCAAGTGGCTAAGGCGCCAGCCACGTACACCCAAGGTGGCGGGTTCGAATCCAGCCTGGGCCGGCCAAACAACAATGACGGCTGCAACCAAAAAATAGCCAGGCGTTGTAGCAGGCGCCTGTGGTCCCAGCTACTTGGGAGGCTCAGGCAGGAGACTCGCTTGAGCCCAGGAGTTGGAGGTTGCTGTGAGCTATGATGCCATGGCACCCTACCCAGGGGGATAGCTTGAGGCTCCGTCTCAAAAAAAAAAAAAAAGAAAAGAAAAAAGAAACTGCTGCTAAATGTAGTGGCTCATGCCTGTAATCCTAGCACTTTGGGAGGACTGCTTGAGGCAAGGCGTTCAAGACCAGCCTAGGCAACAGAGAGAAACCCCCATCTCTACAAAACACATTCTAAAAATTAACCAGGTGTGGTGGTGCTTGCCTGTAGCCCCCACTACTCAGGAGGCTGAGGCAGGAGGATCACTTGAGGAGTTCAAGACTGCAGTGAGCTATAATCAGGACACTAGACTCCAGGCTTGGTGACAGAGCAAGACCCTGTCTCTAAAAAACAGAAATCTCTCAAATCAGTACAGTTTCCCTATACTCCTTCCTTGCCTGCACTCATGCCTACCTTCAGGTTGTCCTTTGTCAATGCTTAAGATGGGAGATACAGGCTTGGCACCTATAGCTCAACCGGCTAGGGCGCCGGCCACGTACACCTAAGGTGGCGGGTTCGAATCCCCAGCCCGGACCCGCCAAACAACAATGACGGCTGCAACCAAAAAATAGCCAGGCGTTGTGGCGGGCGCCTGTGGTCCCAGCTACTTGGGAGGCGGAGGCAGGAGACTCGCTTGAGCCCAGGAGTTGGAGGTTGCTGTGAGCTGTAATGCCATGGCACTCTACCCAGGGGGACAGCTTGAGGCTCCTGTCTCAAAAAAAAAAAAAAGAGGTCCAGCTCTTGATGGGCATGTTTCCAGGGCCCAGCACCTGAGCCACCATCCCTCCACTGCTGACCTCTCAGCGGCTTCAATGTTGCCACTTCCCCTCCATGCTCAACAACCCCTCCACCCTCTCACCTCATTCTAAGGGGCTCCCCAGCATCTCAAGAAGACCCTGCCCCCGTTCCTCCTGGAACCACTTTTCACCATCCAGGCTTAGTGGCCTCAATTCAGCTGCTCCTGGGGCCTTCTCAGCCAGTGCTAGGACCGTGCTTGCTGCCCTAATAAAGCCCTGCATACATGCTGCTGTCCTCTGCACTCTGGGTCATCTCTGACTGAGCTGTGAGCCCATCCTGCCAGGAGGCTCGGAGTCCGTACACGCATCCCTCTGGCCACCTGACACACACCTGTGCTGGCCTGCCCT